CAGCCGGGGCCGAGGCAAGTCCCCTGGACGCAGGCGGTCCCCGTCCCCAGCGCCTATCCTCACTCCCAGCATGGCCAACGGGCGCTACCACAAGCCTCGGAAGGCCAGGCCCCCTCTGCCACGACCTCTAGATGGGCAGGTAGCCAAGGCGAGAGGCAGTCAAGGGTCCAGCGAGAACGGACCTGGCAGGACAGCTGAGCAGGCAGCCACGAAGGCCCCCAGCGGGGAGCTAAGGACAGTCACGCTGTCCAAGATGAAACAGTCGTTGGGTGAGTCCGGGTGGGACTGGGCCTGGCAGGGGCTCTTGGGTTTGGGTAAGTTTGGTGGGTTTGGTTTGGGGATGTGACTAGGGGCCTGGGCCTAGGAAAAGAATCTGGGTATTGGGGTGTAGTTGGGGGAATCTATAGATTTGGGGGCTTTGAGATCTAGAAGATTTTGGAGTTGAGGATTGAATAGTAACAGAATTGGAGTTTGGGAAAAGTTGGGGGCCCCGGATTTGGGGATGGGGTCCTGGGCCTATCCTGGGAGCTCTGGGTTGTAGGGGTACGGCACACTCTTATCCTGTGTTTGTCACTCTCTCTAGGCATCAGCATCTCGGGGGGTATCGAGTCCAAGGTGCAGCCCATGGTGAAGATAGAAAAGATCTTCCCTGGCGGGGCCGCCTTCCTCAGTGGGGCCCTGCAGGTGGGTGAAGCCAACCCGGCCCCCTCCCTCAGCCCGGAGCTGATTCTGGCCTCTGGCCGGGGCAGGCTGGGTCGTGCGCATCTGCCAGCCAGGCATGTTCAGACCAGGTCGTGGGAGGAGAGGGGTCAGGATGAGCTGGCCAAGGAAAAAATCTGTCCCCTCATGCCAGCCTGGGCCTGAGGGCGGCCCATCCTGTTCCACCCCTTGCCCCAAGGGACAGAGGGCCATTGTCTGTGCCCCACCCAGCCCCCAACAGCTCCAGGCACAAAAGTGCCATTGTCCATCCCCTCCACGCAGAGGAGAGCGTCCTCGGGGGCGGAGGTGGAGGTTGGATGCTGGAGTGGGGGGTGAACTGATGGGCAGGGCGGTGATCTCCCACTCCCATCCTAGGCTGGCTTCGAGCTGGTGGCAGTGGATGGAGAGAGTCTGGAGCAGGTGACCCACCAGCGCGCAGTGGATACCATCCGCCGGGCGTATCGAAACAAGGCTCGGGAGCCCATGGAGCTCGTGGTCAGGGTCCCCTGGCCCGACCCGCCACCCTTGCCCTCTGACTCATCAGCACCCAGCGATCAGCTCCTTCCTCCGGACCATTCCCCTGCCCGCTGACCCCTGGATGGTACGCCCGTTGGCTGCCAGAACTTCACAGGGCCCTTCCCAACAATATCCAGACCTCTGCCACTGACGCCACACCCCCAGCCCAGTCCCCTCTACAACCTTCCAGACTCCAGATTCTAACCCGGCTCTCCCCACCGATCCCATGACTCTTCCCACTGACCTCGGATCCTCCCACTGACCCTGGAATCCTCCTGCTCCGCCAGACCTCGCCTACTGACCTTCTGACTCGGGAACCTCCCAGTCCTGCTTGCCTTGCCGACTCCCAGAGCTCCACGTCCGTGGCTCAGACGTCCCTGCTTTCTTCCCTCCCTCAAGGCTCTGCCCTTTCCAGACAAACTTGGTGTCAAGGACAAGGTGCTACTGGGCAGCCTGTGTCACCTACTCGCTGCTCCCAACCTCCCGAGACAGGAAGGTCGAGAAGCCCAAGGTCTGGAACTTGGGATCAGAGGGTACTTTCTCATGATGCCCCTTTGATTCTCCCAAGCACTGGGGGACATGGACTCTCTGAGATAGCCCTCAAGCAGTCACTGCAGCCACCTCCCAGCCCCAAGCAGTGTTCTATGCAAGGAACAGGATGGAAGTCTTTTCTCATTTCTCAAACTCAGAGAGACTATTTCCTGTTGTGGTCCACGAGCCGTAGACTTTCTACTGGATTTGTCCTTTCCCCATCTCCCTTTCTCCCCCAAAGACCTCCATGAGGGGTAGGGGAATAGCCAGCAAATAAAAGAGGGGCTGGGGGAGGGTCAAACAAGTTCCCATAATCTTTATCCAACACACTCACCTTTTTTTTAAAAATCAAAAAAATTTTTAATTTTTTTCTTTGGGTTTGTACAAGAAATTTACAGTGTGAAAAATATACAAGTGAAAACGAGGCCATACACCAGGGTGTAGGGAGGGGCAACTTGGTCACAAACACAAATAAACAAGACATTTCTGAGTTCTTCCTTTGGTCTGACTATAGCCCCCTCACCACAGTTGAGAGGCTGCAGAGCTGGAAGCTAGGGACCAGACCCCAGTCCCAGCCCTGTCCCCCAACATGGGCAGGGTAGGGCAGGCACATCTGGAGCAGCTGGCGCTGTCTGGCTCTCTCTGGCTTTGGAGTGTGGAGACGAGGGAGCTTCTTCCTCTCCCCAGCTCCCTGGCTGGTTGAGCTGGTGAGCGTTTGGGGTGAATGGGGTTGGCAGAGTGGCACTGGCAACAGGTGGGGAGTGAAACAGGCGGAGTGAGCAGGAGCCTCTGGGTGACAGTGAACACAGGGACCTCCAAGGGGTCTGATCTTGCTCATCCAAGTCATAGGGCAGCCCTGGGTCTTGGCAGAGGCCCAGAGGCCTGGATCCCAGGGGACGAGTGGCTCTGGGGCCCTCAGTGGACCTGAGGCAGCTGTTCCCTTTCAGCAGAGCTTCCTGCAGAGCTGGGACCCCAAGGGCCCTAGATTTCAGTGGCAGTGATCTCCTCCAGGCAGATGCAGGGGGCTGGCTCCGCCAGGCCCAGGTCGGCGAGCTCCCGGGCCTCCAGCTCCAGGCTGAGCTGCTGCAGCTCCTGCTCCAGCTGCCGGTTCCGCCGGTACATCTGGATGTAGTTGTGCTGCAGCTGCTTCTGATAGCGGATCACCTGCTCCTTCTCTGCCTGCCAGGCCAGCCGTTCCCCCTCGAAGCTGTCCCTCTGCTCCTCGCCTCGCCGCCGCTCCTGCTGTAGTTCGGCCCGCAGCCGCTCCACCTGGGCCCGCAGGCTGCCCCCAACCCCGGCTGCCACACGCTGTGCCTTGGCCTCATCACTCTCTGCCAGGAGGAATGGGTCAGCAGTGGCAGGTGGCACAGGGGGTTCCCGGAGCCCAGCCGCCTCGGTGTCCAACTGCCCAGCTTTCTCCCGAAGCCGCTCAGCCTCCTGGCGGTGCCGCTGCAGCTCCTGGGAACAGGCCTCCAGCTCCAGCTCTCGTGCTCGGGCTGCCTCCTGGAGACCCCGCACCCAGCCCTCACTGACCCGCAGGGCTGCCCGTGCCTCCCGCAGGGCCACCCGCAGGGCCACCAGCTCACTGCCCTTCTGCACCAGCTCTGCCTGAGACTCCTTCAGTTGTTGCTTCAGCAGGGAGATCTCGCCCGACTTCTGGCACACCTGGTGGTGGGAGGCAGGCAGGAAGGATGGTGAGAAGGGTTCTCCCAGGGCAGGGGTCTTCAAACTTTTTAAACAGGGGGCCAGTTCACTGTCCCGCAGACCATTGGAGGGCCGGACTACAGTTTAAAAAATAACTATGAACAAATTCCTATGCACACTGCACATATCTTATTTTGAAGTAAAAAAACAAAACGGGAACAAATACAATATTTGTATTTGCATGTGGCCCGCGGGCCGTAGTTTAAGGACCCCTGTCCCAGGGGGTCAGGCCCTGACAGCATGCTGGACATTCTGGAGAGGAGGTTTGATCCTTATACCCATTTTACAGATGAAGACACTGAGGCAAGCCTAGCGACATGGTCAAGGTCATACAGTTAGTCAGCGGCTAAAGTGAATACAGATTTTTTTCCTTCAAAGTAGTGTCTTTAAACCACTTTGGTTAAAAGCATACACAAAGGAGTCAGATTGACTTGATTCAAATTTCAACTTTGCCACAAACTGGGTATAATTTTGGGCTCCAGCCTTTCTGGGCCTCAGTTTCTGCATCTCTAAAATAGGAATATTTACAGGACCCACCTCATAGGGCTGTTAATGAAAAGTAGATGATACATAGTCTATGTAACATGCTTTGAATAGTGCCTGGTGCATAGCAAGCACTACCTTCTTATTATTGGCTGGAAGGCAGTGGGTGGGAATGCCACTGGCTATGGGCACTAGACCAGGCTAATGAGGAGGCCAAACATGGAGACACAAGGAGGCCCCCTCCCAGAAAGGGAGGTCAGAGGGGGATCCTCATCTCCCAGAGGTGAGGAAGGGGAGGCCCTCTAGGGGTGGCAGGCTGCTGGGGTGTTCCTGGGCCCCTCTTTCTAGGGGTTGTTCCTGCAGGACCCTGCTCCTTTCCCTCCTGGTCTGACCCACCTCCCATTTGGTCTCCTCGAGCCGGGGCCCGAGCTCCCGCTGCTCTCGCTCGAAGGTAGCGCAGCGCCGCTCTAGCTGTTCCCGTTCCTGCAGCAGCTGTGCAAAGTCATCCTGCAGCTGCCGCTTCTCCTGCTGCAGCTGGAACACCTGCAGCTGCAGCAGCTGCTGAGCTCGCTGGGCCCGCTGCGCCTGGGCCGCCCCGTCCAGCCGCTGCCGATCCTCATACACCTGTGGGCGAGAAGGCAAGCCTGGGTCCTGGCAGCTCCCCCAAACTTCGAGCCCTCGCTGCCCCCAATCACTGACTGCTCTGGTGGCCTACTGGGGCTTTAGGCGGCTAGATTACACTGAACAAGGGTAATAATATGACCACAGTGACAAGTACTTTTATGGTAATAGAAACAGCAATAATAGCAAGCACTTAAGTAGCACTTCCTAAGTGCCGGGCATTATTCTAAACACTTTACAGCCTTTGCCTTACTCA